TGGGACACTCACAGGGGTTGAGTTTGTGGACAACGTCAGGGGCACTGGAGACCAGTGAGCGGAGACGTCGGAGGGCGACATTGAGGAGGATCGCACATCTTCTTGCACGGTACCTTCTTGAGCGTGATTAACTCCTACATATCAGACGATCCTAGGTCTGAGATATTTATTGGTCCCCCAAGAGGGGAGGTTCCGGTCCCATACCTCGGAGATGGCTATAGTCATTTGGTTGGGACAAACTTTGCTATGCAGGCTTATCGAAAGCCTCTCTACGGAGATCGTTTCCTCGAGGTATCCTACATCTACTCTAGCGGGAGAGGGCGGATTGAGATATTGATTGGAGCTACAAGCGATATCATTCTTGCAGAGGAGCTTTATCACAGGAGCGTCGCAGACGAGGAGATGGCTAGATGCATGGCCTATATCTGCAAGATTGATCCAGCAGCGCCTCTCGACATCAGCTACGTGGTTCCAGAGTCGATAGCCACGCGAGTTCTCAATGACGAGGTGCCAGACAGGGAGTCCCAGACGGCAGCACTTACTCACGAGGGGGTACCACTTATTATTATTGATTGAGGTTCTCTCTTTTCAGTCACTATTGATGTATTACGACATTATTATTTATTAGTGACTGCAGCCTTCCAATGGCTGCTCCCTGCATACTCTGTGTACTACTCTTCACTCTCGTTTCTCTGGTCATGCTCTTGCAGAGTCTGGTTTCTGGTCTTCTCATATTGTCAGTGTCAAGTGCTCTATGATGTATGATGCATGTTTGTTATTTTCCTCCTTATTTTATACAGGTTACACTCAAGGCAGCTTGAAGGACTTCTGAATGATAGGGACTCCGGTGACCTTGGGCATATCCTTTATACGGGGTCAGGTGCAGGCGATAAACCTGAACGCCTCACTCTAAGCCGTGTCGCCGCTGGAAGGAGGGATAACCTTGACTACTCGGCTGTATGACTAAGTATGACTGCCTCTGATTACACCTCTAATTTTATACCTATCAAAAATCCTGCGTGACAGTCTGCCAGTCCTCCAATCCACTGAGCTCGGTCCGGGGAAGGACATCTCACCGGACCCTTGAAGCAGTGGGGGCGCGACACCGCATGCGGACGGACATCTCGGGGGGCTGAAGTTCCAAGCGCGGCCCGTCGTCGGTCGACTAGGACGTATCTCACACACCACGCGCACGCCACTTTAGGAACATAAAAGAAAGAACACACACACATACACACGAAACGGCACCACATGAACAACGCGACAACGCTCCTAGCCCCTTCTATGGTCATCCCATAACTTTCCGCTGCGGAAATCGGATAGGCGTCGCACACGAGACTTAATATAAAACTGCGCGGACGCAGGGCCTACTCAAATCGACTAGCAGTGCAAACGTACGCAAGCACTCGCAATGATGGCGTACCATGTAGTACCCATACTGGCACGGCCCCTGTTAATCTCGAGGGTTGCGTTTGACACTCAAGTGTCGGCCGACACGCTGTCGGAGGGCCCGACCTTCTGGCCCTCCTCGGTGTGTGAAAATTTGCCACACCGGTTTGACGTTCTAACCTGCGGGGTAAGACGTATTCCACTAGCCCAACCTGAGTGAGCCACGGTCCAGCTGCTCTGCTTAACGACAAGGGGTTGCGCTATGGGTCATCAAGTTAATTAGCCCTGATCATTCCACGGCCAACCGCTGAATTTTTTTTTTTTGCGAAGGGCTCGACTAGCCTTGATAATAAATAAGATAAAAATAATAATAATAAAAGAAGTCGGTCTAAGTGGCGGCGGTACTCACGTTGGCGAGGCCTAGATCTAGATCAAAGGGTGTCTGCCGGGACCGTATTTCTGCAGTCGGGCTTGAAAACCAGTTCCACCAGCGGGACTACCGGACCTGGAATCAGTGTCAGTTGTAGTACTGCTGGGCTGGGTCTACTTGGGCGGTACCTTTCCCGTTCCACAATGTGTACGTGCGTGCTCAAGCGCCACGTGTCAACGGGCACAGCAGCCAGCTATCGGCCTAGGGAAACGGCCACTTCGTCGTTACAAGAGGAACCAGGGTTTGACTTTCGAGTCTAGCTGTCGACATGTGCGCGGCTCAGATAGAGAGGATGAGTTGTCAAGTTGCCAAGACGCGCTGTTTGCCAGAGGAACTGCCTCCTGATAGTGCTCACGGCCTACACAGCTCCCAGATGCTTGACACCAGAAAGGATAGGACTAAGCAATTGATGAGATCTGCTGCCCCTCTAGTGGCAGGAGCAGCCACAAACAACAACCACTTTCGCCGTTGGTGGGACCAGTTGCCTTCACTGAAGAGACCCGAGTTCGTGGCAGATTGGTTTGGGGGTTTTGATCATGTAACAGAGGTAGCCGACACGATGGAGCGAATACACGTGGATTGCACATGGCTGGCAGGGGAATTCTATAGGACGTCCTTGAAATACAGGCCCTTCCACGACGATAGAGCCCGGGAGGTCATTATCATTTTGGATATCGAAAGGAATGGCTGGTAGGAGGTGACCCCGGAAACTAGGGAGGTCATAATCCGCCGTGAGGTAGCAGCAACACCTTGCTATGTGGATGATGTGTTCAAACTGTTCGAAGTACTGCGGTTCGACTAAGCGCAGGGAAGCTGTGGAGCCAGACAAATATGGCAAAAATTGCTAAGATAAGGGAATGGGATGTCTGGCCATTGTAGGGTTCAGCGCGGATCGCGAGCCGGGAGGTCAAAAGCGAGTGTGTGATGGCACGAAGAAGGACGTTCCTTGAGGAGCGTCCCTTGGGCATTGAACCGCCTAGGGAAGTACCGGGTGGGATAGAGGTTAGCTTGCCGGCAACAGGCGAGGGATGGCACTAGGTAGCGGATTGGGTCGGGATCGAGCTTGCGGAAAATATGGTTTATTTGGTGACGAAAGTTGAGTGGCGGGCGGCTGAGAATGGGGAATGGAACCCGGACCCACGGGGGCACGTGCGTGCAGAGGGGCGGTTGTATGTGTCAGAAAACGGGTGGAGGGAGTTCGGAGTTCGGCTGGCATCTGGAGACGACCCATTGAGCATGTTTGAGGGGGCATGGCAGTTAGTATGGCGAGCGGGATTTGAGTTCGCGGATCCGCGGGTTGACGATGTAACGGCAGACCTTAGGGTAGCCATGATCGGGAGTTTCGAATTGCCTAGTGAAAATGTACGAATGAGGCTGCCGCCCTTCCTGCTGGAAAAAATGGGCGGTTTGGAACTCGTTAGACAAGCAGTAGTCGACCTCGCAAGCCTGACATGTGAAGAAGCGATGGTACATCGAGAATACTACCGGGCCTTCTTAGAAATGGGACCGTTTAGCGAAGAGCAGAAGTACGAGGTGTTGTGCATCCTGCGTGCTGTGTTTAGTACCAGGCCAAGGGTTCCGGTGGTGGGAAGTGAGGTCCTGTGGGGTGTCGTCCGGCGGGAAATAAACCAAGGGATAGCGTATGTAGATGATCTGTACCGATTGTATGAGCAGATGGAGGAGAGAACAGGTCGGTAATGGTGGAATGTTTGTGGGATGGTATGAGAATTAACAGGGGATCGGGGGACGATCTGTACACCGATCTTAGGGTGACGGGTACCGTATACCTGCCAGAGCTCGGGTGGCACATGCTAGGGATGGAATTGGCACTAGGTCACGGGTTGCTACCAATCTTCCAAAGGGCTACTAGGGTGTTGAACAGGGTGGGCCAGGAAGTGCGGGGGAGAAGGAACGTGGGATTGAGAACTCGGGTGGAGGTCGGAGGCTGGCGAGAGTTTAAGGCCCCAATGACCGGGTTGAGGTGTCGAGTACCTCGTTTTATGGTGGACTTGATATTCGGTAGCCTCAAGAGAGCTAGGGACCTGGTGGATTCGACCCTAGTCTGGATCCACCTCTTCCGGCCACAGACAACGGGCATGTTCTACGATGTGTCAGTCAGATATGGGCCGTTCTGGGCGAATCAGGCCGGGGAACTACTCGAATTACTCGAGATCTTGATATTCGGATTGCCCCACCTGTCGTTTGAAGAATATGAGCCAATAATTATCAGGGAAATAGAGATGGGGGAAAATTACCTTGTTGGGTTGGCTGACCTGTTCGAGGAACAGGATGAGCAGGGCAGGCCTGAGGGACCAGCATGAGAAAACGCATCAGGAAGAGGTAAGGAAATAAAGGATGAGTACTAAGATAAGTAGGCAGCCATCAGCAAAAGAAGGGCAGTGGTTGGAGCTCCGTCCAAACCGATAGCGCGGCAAGGAGGAACTAGGAAAACCACCGGCTCCAAGAATTATGGGGCACCTGGATGCCAATAAGCCAAAAGGGCCATACCCGATAGGAAAGTCGCTGGGCTCAGGCACCGCCCTAAGAATCTAAGCGCGACAGTAAAGAAATGCCAAGCAGCGGCGGCAAGCTCCATGACGGAAGAAAACTTGGAGAACGCCCTGGGAAAGAAAAGTTAGAAGAGTCGGGCCGATTAACGTAAGACGCAAAAAAAAAACCATGGGAATAGGCGGGTTCTAGGGCCAGGGCTAGAGCAATTATGAACAACCGACCACTTTTTCGCAAAATTTTTTTTTTTTTTCCATGTGCAGGCTAGGTAAAAAAATGGCGACTGAGGAAGGAATCGATGACCTGCAGAGCGGAGGGAATCAGGGCACGAATAGGGATAGGGAACGAAACGAGGGATCAGCCAGGGATCGAGAGTCAGTCAAACTGGAAGGAACCCGAGAAGACGGAAATGATGCCTCAATTGGAGAAAGCTCGGGGAAAGCTGGGGGTAGCAAAATGGGACCTCGGGAAAACAGGGAAGGGGGAAACGATATGAGAACAAGCCCTCGGAACTCAGCAGGAGCCACCCCTAAAAAGACAAAAGTCTCGGATGCCAGTCGTAAATTAGCCGAGATAGAAAAGCGGATGGCAGAATTTAAGGCAAGGCTTATCGAGCAGATGATGGTCGAGGATGAAGAAACCCCCAGGGCGCGAGGCCACGTGAGGGACACAGGACCGGTCTGGACGAGGCAAAATATGAGGGGAAGGATAATAGTCACAAGGGAACGCCTAGTAAGAAGGGGAAGGACAAGAACGACCTCCCGACGGAAGAGACAGAAAACGCTATGACCCCACCCGCCATTGACAGCGGCACTAGCAGACTGCCCGCCACGCCGAAAGTAACAGGGGTGTGTGACGGACTCTGGAACCTTAGGGAAAGGGTGCTAGGATGGTTCGACCCAGAAGGAACGCCAAAAACCAGGGAGAAGCAGAGGGAAAGCAAGGAAGGGGAAGGCACCAGTGCGGTCGGAGAAGCGGATGGCTCCAAAGATGGTCTCAAGAGGGTAGTCGCCACCCTCACCGGGACACTAAACAAGAACCAGGGGTATCTCGCAGATGCAAAGAAGAAACTCACGTTCGATGGGGCGAACATTACGGAGTTTCTAATAGACTATGAGAATCTAGCAGCCTTACTAAAATGGACGGAAGAGGAAAAGATGGAGCACCTAGGGCAGCACATGTCGCTAAGCTTGGGAAGGGACATTATGGCCATCGTCGCCTCCTGTGGATCCTGGAAAGAAACCAGGAATGAGATGATGAGGAAATACCTGAAGGCAGAGAAAATAGCGACAAAGGCCGAATTAGCCGCAGTCCAGAGGAAAAACTATGCGACCTACAACGATTTCCTAAGAGCATTTACGTTAGTGGAGCTGCGAATTCCCGGGGTAACGGACCGCATAATGAGTAAATACTTCCTCAGGCAGTTCTCCGAGTTTGATAAGGATAAGATCTTGTCAGCATACCAGCAGACCAGTAAGTTCGAGTACACGAGAGATGTGGACTTCAGCATCGTAACAGACCTTGCGGAAAAGACAGTGGTCACCGAGACACTAGCCCTGCTTAAGGAAGGGGAAGTCATAGATCTGGCCGGGAAGACAGGGGATAAGGTCAAGAGGGGGACAAAGAGCCTGCACGAACGGGTGCACGGGGTTGACAGCAAGATGGACAGAATGGAAAATGTGATGTTAGTAATGCAAGCGCAAGTGTCCAGACCCGCCCTCCCGCCCCAAGAGGCCGTGGTTCCGGCAGCCGTAGCAAACCGGGGATTTGGCAGGAGGGACCCGACTAATGAACAATATAAGTATTGCACCATGATCGGGCATTTCGTATGGGCCTGTCCGAGACTCAATCACGATATCGAACGACAGAGGTGCAGTAGGTCCCTCAAAGGCGAGATCCTTGGACCCATGGGGGAGCGTGTCAATTGGAACTCGCCGGGAGGGATGAGGCGAGTCATCATCCTCCCGAATAACTTAGAGATAGTTGCCGTAGAAGCAGAGCCAATAGCCGAGATTGTCTGGGACCAGCCAAGGGGACGGGGACCACAGGCCAATTTTATCCTGGAAGGCAATTGCCAGGATAGGGTAAATATTACCACTCGCCGGGCCGGCGCAAAAAAGAAGTTTATTCAAGATACAGTAACGGAGGAACTCGCAGGGACTAGCACGGGCCAGCAAGAGACCGAAGCCGGGGAACAAGAGAAGGTCTATGGGAATCCAAGGGAGGACAAACCGGTAGACAAGGCTACGGCGGCAAAGAAAAAGTTCAGATATCAAATTCTGATCCTGACTTCGCTGGAAATCGATGGCACCTTGAGTAAGCTACTGGGTACCATGGTATCGGTGTCCTTTCAGACCATGCTGCAAGCCAGCCCGAGACTGCTTAAAGAACTCAGGCAGTTGCTAACGCGTAAGCGCGTAGAGGTAGAGGAGGCCCCGGAACGGCAAGAGCAGGACACGGAAGAGGCCGAGGCGCTGCAGGGAGTCCTGTGAAGGCAGTGTGCGAGTTCCTGCGAGTTCCTCCGTTACTGTATCTTGAATAAGCTTCTTTTCTGCGAAAATACAAAACCGTAGCAAAGAAGGCCAAGCCAGTCTCGATCCTAATAGAGACATCAAAGGAAGAGGCCATGGAAAAAGAGGAGGAGATCCTACGGGTTATAAGGGAAAGACGCGCAACGAAACGACATCGCATACCAGACGAGGTAGCAGATACCATGAAAATAGGAGTGGAAGGGTTTCTAACAGCAGAAGAAACTCAGTTGATAAGAAAAGCATGTCAGGAGTTTCATCTAGCTTTCGCCTTCAACGATCATCAGAAAGGACGATTGGATGCAAAGCTAGTTCCCCCTGTCAGGATCCACACCGTACAGCACGAGTGCTGAAATGATAAAGGGTCCGCCTATGAATTTGGGATAGCAGCGGAGGTCACCGACCTGCTTAGAGCTAAGATAGATTCTTTCGTGGCTGAACCCACCACATCCCCCTACGCGAACAAGTGGTTCGTGTTCAGGAAGCCCAATAAGATGCTCCGGTGGATCCAGGACATGAAGAAGCTCAATGCGGTAACAATTAGGTACGCAGGCTCGCTGCCACAAGCCGACTTGTTGGCAGAATCTCATGCGGGGCAGATTATTTACTCCTTGGTAGACTTGTACTCAGGATATGATCAGTTGCCACTCGATGCGAGGGATAGACCGTACACCGCAATGCACACCCCCGTAGGGCAGCTGCAGATGCAAGTGACCCCTATGGGTTTTACAAATGCGGTAGCAGAGGCTTAGAGAAGGATGCTCGCCGTCGCAGGGGATATGTTTCCAGAAAAGTGTGAACCGTATATAGATGATAATCCCGTAAAAGGCGCAAGGTACAAGGATGAGACGGAGGTCGAACCGGGCGTACGAAAGTTTGTCTGGGACCACATGTAGGATATTAGGGACCTACTCCAGCGATTCCTCGTTTACAATATCACTGCAAGCGGACCCAAGAGCATCCTGGCCGTTCCGGAAGTTACCATACTGGGATTTCATTGCGGAGCGTATGGGAGGAGACCCGACCCAGCAAAGACGGATAAGATCTCCCAGTGGCCGACACCCCTACGCACCACAACGGAAGTACGAGCCTTCCTAGGGGTGGTCGGGTTCTGGAGGATCTTCATTAAAGGATTCGCAAAGATAGCAGAGCCTATCCGCGCAATGATTAGGGAAGGCGGCACTATGGATTGGACCGAGGATAGGGAAGCAGCAGCCTAGACCCTGAAAGACATCCTGTCATCTGATCAGGTCACTCTAGCAGCACCCTGTTTCAACGACGAGGTAGGACGGCCTTTCATCTTAGAAACAGATGGGGGACCGCTAGCAGTTGGAGGAGTATTGATCCAGAGAAGCGAGGAGGACAGGGAAAGGCCAATCAGATTTGAAAGTAGGACCCAGAATTCGGCAGAACGGCGGTACTCACAGTTCAAGAAGGAGGTCTTAGCGATTCTGCATTGTCAGGCATACCTGTTCGGAAGGCGATTTATCCTAAGGATTGATCCCACCAACGTTGTCGGAGCCCTAAAGAACTACAAGCCCATAGATCTGACTGTTGGCAGGTGGATAAGCTTCATATGGCAATTCGACTATAAGGTCGAGCGGATTGCGGGACTTCGAAATAGGGCAGATGGGTTGAGCAGGGTATGCATCACGCCCGAAGGAGTAGAGGACGCGGAACCAATCGATGCTTTCCTAGAGTATGAAGGAGGGACCCTTGTGGTGGATAATGAGATAGCAGATCCAGCAATTACAACAGGTCAGTTGCTGATTCAGACCTTGGAAAAAGGCGCACCTCCAGTAGTTGCAGAACTCAGGGAAGGACCAGTCACCACGGTCAGGCGCTAAGAGGAAAAGGACTCGTGGGGAGCAGAAGTAGGGGCCAGAGAGGAACTGATGGCAATGACCGTGGAGAGGGGATGGGATGTCGTGACGACATTGCCCGAGACCTGGGCGCAGAAGGAGTGTCAGTATCTAGTCAACCTCACTCGGGAGGAGCAGGGTGCGGATCACAACGAACAGGAATTCTTCCTCATACAAATGTATGAGGGCGTTTTCAAAGAAATCGGTTTGCGGCTTGTGGGGAACAAACAACCCACGGAAGTCAGTCCCAAGGCAAGGGAGGAAGTAGAAAAGTTCGTCCTAAGAAATGGTCACCTGTTCAAGAGAGAGAAAGGGATAATGCCTAGATGCGTCGTTTGTGGGAGGTATAGGCAGTTGGACATAATTCAGGCAATGCATGATGGACTAGCTGGTGGTCACCGGTCGTCAAAAGGGACACTGGCAAAGATTGTGCCCCTGTATTTCTGGCCAGGAATGGCAGGCATGGTCGCAACGTACTGTCAGACGTGTCTGGTATGTCAAGAGAGGAGCTCCATACGGGTTTACGAGCCCCTTAGACCCACCCGGGTACTAGGACCCGGACACCTTGTTCACCTCGACCTTTCTGTTATGCCCGTATCGACGGATGGGTTTAGGTACATCCTGGATGTAAGGGATAACCTCAGTGCCTATGTAGAAGTCGTAGCCCTCAAGAAGAAGACAGGGAAAGTAGTGGCCAACTGGGTGGAGGATTTCTACCTAAGGCACCCCTTCGTGCGCAGGTTTACAGCAGACAATGGGACAAAATTCGTTAACCAGGAGATGTTGAACAGACTTAAGACACTGTGTGTACCGATCAAGATCACCGAGTCCTACCATCCTGAGGCAAATGCGCCGGTAGAAAGGGGTCACCGGACTTTGAAAAACACAATCGCAAAATTGGCAGCAGATAATTTGGGAAGTTGGTCACGGTTTCTCAAGCAGGCAGTCTTCGCCGAGAACATGACTCCAAAAAGAACAACGGGATGTATTCCAGCAGAACTCTGGTATGGAAGGGAGATCGATTTTCCGATAGAAGCTTTGGTCCCTACCTGGAACAGGCTAAATGACGACCTACACTTGAGCACGGAAGAGCCAATCACCGCACGTTGTCAGCAGGTCGCCAGAAATGAGGAGGCACTCGAGGAAGTAATCAAATGTGGGACGGACAACCGAATGAGGGAWAAAGCAAGATGGGACCAGGTTAAGAACATTCGGAAGGAGCCACTCCAGGTGGGGGAAAAGGTGCTAGTTAGGAACTCGGCCCTTGAAAGCACATGGTCCGGGCAGCTGGGAAAAAGATTCAAAGGGCCTTACAAGATCGCTAAACAGGTGGGACAGAACACATTTGAACTTGAGGATCTCGATGGTACTAGCATAAGAGGGTCATTTCCGTGACAGAGATTGGTCAGATTTTTTAGCAGGGATCCGGTGGAACAGTGGCTACAAGAGGCCCACGACAAGGAAACTGGGGAACTGACAGCCTGAAAGGCAGGCAACTGGCTATAAGTTATGGACCGCTTCCCTGTGGAAGTGATCATGACCACAGGGATTGTTCGTTTGTGTGTCTTGACTTTGTGGAACGTGGGGAGACTGCCTGGGCTGACTGTGACTGGGCCTGGGAGCACGGGACAGTGTATCATAGTTTTTGTGGGGTAACGCTGGGGACTGTCTACGCGAGGTACTTATGGGTTGGGACAATGTACCATAGTTTTTTTTGGGGGGGCTGATGTTGTGGACTGCCTACATGGGGCACCTATGTGTTGGGACAATGTGTTGAGGGTTCTAAGGGATAATGGGGTTACCAACTATGTGGGGGCAAGCAAGAGTTCTAGGGAAGCCTCCAAAGCAGCAAATGGGAGTGGAAGGGAATGTGTGTGTATGAGGGGTACCGTGACTGTTATGCATGAACAGGGCCAGGCGAGGAGAAAACAACAAGAAAACAGCAAGATGGAGTACGGAAATGAGAATGACAGCAATGTCATCAATAGGCCGGACGAGGGACAGTCGTCTAGGCAAGCTGGAGAGTCAAGCTCCAGGAAAAGGAAGTTGTATGTGAGGTTCGATCACAACCTAGTTGTGAACAGGGGGGACAGAAAGCAAGGAACCAGAGGACCGTCACCACTAAAGGAAAGAGAGCCAATAGAGCTGCCCTCAGACAGTGATCCTAGTAGTAAGGAAAAGGGGAACCCAGAGGAAGGACAACGGCCGAGAGAGAATGAGCCCGTTGAGTTCATTGACCTCACTAGCGACGACGAGGAAGATGAGGTAACAACGCCCACAAGGGAAGATCGGGGAAGAGAGGAGGACCCAGGGGAAGAAAATGACCCATGGAAAAGAGAGTTCGGACCAACTTTCAGCGATTGGTTCGATCAATGGGCCAGTATTTTGCGTTATCAGTTGGCAATGAAGGGCCAGGAAAAGTTGAGCAGGGGAGAAGACATATCCCCAACAACCTTCTTTTCAGAAGAAATGCTTCGCCATCTACAGACGATAAAAAAGCTAATGGAGCAAGAGATGGAGGACCGTGCAAGGAGGGAGGCTCGACGCCGGGCACCAGGACAGTAAAAGGGGACAGCAGGCATGATGGGAATAGTTGGGAATCAGGGAAGGGTTGGTAACCGAGCAGCAAAGAACGGCCATCTTTCCTTTTTGGGCATTTGAACTTCTTCTCGAATGAACTATGACGAGACAGTTGTTAAGCTCGAAGCGGCTAAAGAACTGGGTAACGAATGCTACTTCATATAAGTCGTTGCTTCTTCGGGAATGGGCACGAGAACTTTTTTGCACTTAGAATATAATTCTGGATGGTTGGGTAGATTAAGGGAAAGTAAAGGGAAAACAAGGGGGATCTAGATGAGACGAGTCTGTAATGTTGTCGTTACATTCGAACTTTGTCTCCTTCTTTTTGGGAAGGACTGTAATGAAACTACTTTTTGGATTGAGGAAACTAGTGGGGGTTGGGAGGCTTGTGCTACTTTGTATGAGTATTCGCTTCTTTGGGGAAAATGCAAACTTTTTTTGGTAGTAAGAAACGAACTTTGGGGATGATTGACTTTGCCTCGAGAAAATAGGCAGGGGCATGTGAACTCTTGAACATTGGAAGATGCAGTCATGGCGAGAGTTTTTCCTTTGAAATTGTGTATCCAGGACTGAATGAGTCATTGCAGAAGCC